AAAGAACTCATGGGGGAAATTTAGCGCATGCAGAATCCCCTGAATACTATTCCTCACAACTTAGTAGATAGATCTGTGTCGTGTGCACATGCTCATCATCTGCTAGGCACAATACTTCTCTGGACAAACTGCTTTTATTCTGTAAGGAAAGTAGAGAATGGACATAAGACAGGGAACTTGTAGTGCTCTATAGCATAAAGCAAAAGAACAGGTCAAAACCAAATGTGAATGTCGTCATCAGTAAACCAGTTTGAAGTAGTGTTTGTGCATACATCCTATAGAAGTTATTAATCAAATCAGTCCTTTCCATTGACAGTTATTCTCATCATGATCAAGCTCAGTTGTGTATAACAGGAATGCTAAGAAGCAGCAATTTAATCAGGGTGAGCATTTGTTAGTCATTGTAAAAAGCAAGACAGGGTAGAATGACATGATCGTCACTGAGGCTTCATGCCTCATCCTGATTCTTTTTTCCTGCTCCTAGTCTTCCAGTTAGAAGTCACTTCTGAGTCCTACATGGTAACTGTTGCTGTAAACAACTTTTTTATTACAAGCCAATGACGACAGGAGGAGACAAAGAGGACAGAAGGACCATGGTCCTTGCTAAGATCCTGCTACATGTCCCATTCAACATTTCTCTTAGATTTTGCTAATATACCCTCATAGATACATGTAGCTGCAGGCAGAGGAAAGATGTATGGGTTTTTAGTAGTTATCATCATCAATGTATTTCCTATCAGCAGATTAAAAAAAGAAGATGGTTGGTTTTGTCAGTTATCTTCTACATGAGCTTCTAATGATTATCTCCAAATATTCAGAGCAGCACAGGGATTGAACTTCACAATTAATCGTTCTAAGAAATATATTTCCTCCTCCAAATGTTACAATTAAAAGTTGAGAACAATGCTATAAAAATGTAAATATTGAAAATAAAAGCAACCTTGAGTGGTAATCATCTTGGTGCTCTTAGAGTGGGGCTGCCAAATGAGACAGTTAAAATATTGCCATTTCATATCCATGGCTTTGGATGGAAGAAGCCAAGTTCTTCCACGGATTAAGGAGAGGGAGTGTCTCTTCCCATGCAAAGCAAAGTGGGCAGGTCTCTCCAAAACTCACTCTAATCTGCTTTTTGATGGATTTACTGTGTGACACTGAGGTAAAGCTAGGCTGACTTAAACTAAGGAAGCAGTATTTCTTTCTGTTATTTAGTAATAAACATCTATTTCCATCATAGGGTGAATTGCAAAACAGAACAGTGTACAGTACTGTGGATTGAACCTTGTTAGACAAGTACTCTCCCACTGAAATATAGTCTTAGATCTATAAACACTTAGAATGTTTAGAATCTTAGTGCTTCCAAATTTAGTCATTTAATTTGTCATTTGTCCTGCTTTTCTTTCTTGTTTTGTTCGTTTGGTGGTCACGGTCTGATCTTTCTTCTTCTTATTTCCTCCCGAGACGAGGTCTCATGCCCTACTTTGCTTCTTTTGTCTATGTGATAAAACACTGACCAAAAGCAATTTGGTTTCCAGCTTACAGTTCACTCTGGAGGGAAGTCAGTCGGGAACTCAAGGCAGCAACCTGGAGGCAGGAACTGATGTAGAGGTCATGGATGAACACTGCTTACTGACTTGTCCTCATGGCTTGCTCAGCTTGTTCTCTTATATAGTGCACTACCGCCTACCCGACGTTGGCATCACCCACAGTGGAATGGCTCCCTCAAACCAATCACTAATGAAGAAAATGTTTTACAGACATTCCTGCATGCCTGCCAGATGGAGGCAATGTCTCAATTGAGGTTCCCTCTTCCCAGGTGACTCTAGTTTATGTCAGGTTGACAAGAAGTATACCAGCACACTCAAATAGCCTAGGTTGACTTTACAGTTATTATATAGCTGAGAGTGACCCAGAATCCTAGATCCTCCTGTGTCTGTGTCCTGAGTGTTGGGATTACAGGTGTGCCCCTCTATACCTGGCCTGGCCTTTGCACTTTAATTCTTACAAAGAAAAAGGCTCATGGTATCCTAGCTGCCACTCCATTTCATCTCCCCCCCCACCACCACTATCACCACTTTGATGACAGAATTCCATTGGCAATGAGGCACTCACCTATTTAACATCTCCTCCACAGCTCAGTGATTCCTGGACAAAGTTTTGGTCCATTACTGGAAGTGTGTGAGACTTCTCAACAGGATGGTTCCTTCTACTGTGGACAACTTATGACCCACAATGTAGAGAAGATGCCCAAATTGCCAGTGATAGCCTAGGGTCATGGAGCCTCCTTAAGGATCAAAGCCTCACACTAGGATGGTCACAAATTAGGGAAGTAGAACCTGGGCTAATGATTGTGAGGCTAGGATAAATCATAACTAGGACATATCAATGTACTTCATTTTCTTAAAGAGATTAACGAAGTCCATCTTGTTTAGGAAACAATTATTTCCCTTCACTGTTACTAGCAGGTGACAATAAATGATAAGGGATATTAAGCTATTAGCAGAAAAGGCTGGATTTTGGAGTTACATTTCTAATATGTAAGAAGTCTTTTCTCTCTCATACATGTATGTAAATATGCATTCCGATTTTTGAGTTAGAAAGCCAAATGGTCTTGTAACTTCACTCCAGAAATATATTAGTTTCTTTTCTGTTGCTGAGATAAAACACCATGGCCAAGGCAAGTTACAGAAGGAAGTTTATTTGGTTTTATAGTTCTGGAGGGATAAGAATCATCATGTAGGGGAGGCATGACATCAGGCAGGCAGGCAGGCAGGCAGGCAGTTGGGACAGCAAGCTGAGAACTTATATTTTGTAGGAAGCAGAGAGGGTGAACTGGGAACAATATGAGTTTTTAAACTCTCAAAGCCCACCCCTAGTGACACACTTCCTCCAAGTATGTCTCCCAAAAGAGTACCACCAACTGAGGTCTGGGTATTCAAATACATGAGCAAAAGGGGCTCATTGTTGTTCAAACCACTAAAGCATACTTTGTACAATTGTGAAGGACAACAATTTTGCAGTAGGAACTGTGGGAAGAAACTTGAGCACTTGTTATCTAAGGGTTTTTCGATGTTCATACACACACAGAAGAAAAGAGCCAATGAGAGAAATAGAGAAATTGAATTTTACTCTAATCTCTGTAGATTTTGAGACAGTTAAGTATGATGGCAACAATGTGAGTGAAGGAAAGACCAGTGTACAGGGCAGTTTCTACTCTGCATGGAAGCTGCTCTATTGAAGGCAGTCTTCCAGGACCCATCTATTGCAGCAGCCCCTCGCCAGATCCTCAGTTGACATTGCCCTCTGCTCTTTATGCATTCACTAAGATCAGGACTAAACTGTAGGCAGGGAGCCATTTGTCTTAGACACAAAATTTAAACCTCTGCCTACAAAGCGAAGTCATAAAGATAGATGTTTTAATCGAATATTTAAACTGGCACACTATGCAGGATGGGTAAGTCTCATGTATGTGTGTGTGTAATAAATTATGCTTTTATCTTGATCACAGCTCTCAAATAGTAGTATTTACCAAAGTCTTCCTCCAGCAGGGCTCTGGCATTCCTCCTGTACCTTCTATTATGCTTTGACCATGAAGAACTCTCAAAAAGTGTTGAAGTGAGAAAAAGGTTCTGCAGGAATCTACTAGACCAGGGACCATCAGACAAGAGTTTCTTGGTGAAATTCAATGATAGCAAAAGAATAATGGGATGATGAATACTTTGAAAGTTGTTGCAATTTACTACTTCGTGGAAAAATAATCTGGTTTCTCTTTGACTGAAACCCCATGGGCTCCTTAAGAGACAGACAGCAATGCGGTAGCACTTGGTCCTGTAGCTTTCTTTAAATCCTTACCCTGCAAAGGAGGTATTGCTGTCCTCATTGTGAAGAGATGTGTCTTAACCAAGGGATTAGAAGGAGAAAATAGCAGAGGTGAGCTCTCACCCCGACTGTCTTTGCCTGCTTCCAGAACCTATCTGGTATCTGCAAACATTAGCCCCCAGGGTTTGCTGAAGAGAAACACCAATGGAGTGTAGTGAACACCTGTAGTGTCAGGACAACATGCGGGTAGTACCCTCAAGGCAGTTATTTTACTCATCGCTCCATCTCTTATAAAACATGTTGCAGTATGCCACTCACTTTTTAATGGGAGGAAACGTTGGAGGAGGTCTTTGCATTTTTCAACTGAAAAAGATCATTTTAGCGTGAAGTGTAATTATAGCACTCAAGTTAAATTTATGAGATCTTCATATTTAAGGGAAAAAAATTATAACCAAAACTCAAAATGTGCATTTGTAGTTAATCTTGTACAAAATATTTTTTTTTTTTCATTTATCTTTTTTTTTCCAAGACAGGCTTTCACTGTGGACTTGCTCTGTAGACCAGCCCACTGGCCTCAAACTCACAGAGATCAGCCTGCCTCTGCCTCCCTAGTGCTGGGATTAAAGGTGTGCACCATCACCGCCCAGCTTTAAAAATATTTATTTTTATTTCACATGTATGTGTGTTTTTGTATGTAATTACAAGCCCAGTATCTGTGGAGTCAGAAGAGGGTGTTGGCTCCCCTCCATGCGGGTGCTGGGAACCGACCCTGGGTCCTGTTCAAGAGCAGCGAATTATCATCAGGGACCCTTGTTACAGTAGTCCTTGAGAAAATGATGGATAGTCCACATCGATTGCTACCCCGAGAATGTAAAAATTTCGACTTCCTCGCTGACTGCTGATGTCTACAGAAATCCTCAGCCCTCAAAGAAAGCGGTCAACTTGGTGACGCTCCATCAGTTCATGGATGCACCGTACAGACGGTCCCCCGGGTGACTCGTGGGCTTGGCCGATACGTAGAGCATCCATCCACAGAGAGGACGCTAGCGCATTTCCCGTATCCAAAGGCCCCTCCCCCGGAGGACCCCCATCTCTGCGCCCCTAGGCGGACCGCGCTCTCTCCGCAGGTGGCCGCGCCGGAGCCCCGCCCCCCGCTCGCTCCCCAAGTCGCGGGGCCTCGTCTGCTCTCGCGAGATCCGGGCCGCCGAGCGCTCGGGGCCTTTTCAAATCGCGGTCCGTTACCGCTCCGCCGGCCGCCGCCATTGTAGCGCTCGGAGCCCTCAGCGCGGCCGAGGCGGAGCCCGCGGCGGGATGGCCGATGCCGACAAGTCCGAGGCGGCCGCGGGCGACGACTGTCCGCAGCAGCAGCCGGCCGAGCCGCGGCGAGACCCGCACCCCGCCGAGCCCGAGAAGCCGCCGCGCAGCAGCGCCAACGGCGTTAAAATGTATTGTCTCCCCCGGGCGGGCAGGGCGGGAGGCGCGGGCGGCCCCGGTGCGGGAGCAGGTGCGGCGCGGGCGGCCCCGGCCTCGGGCGCGCGGAAAACGGTCCCCTTTAAAGGCCCGAGGTTAGCCTCATCTCGGGGGAGGACCTAGGGATGACATCATCGGACCTTCCCCCCCCCCCGGCCCGGTTCCGAGCCCCGGTGAGGGCCGCGTGTGCCGGGGTGGCTTCTGAAGTGGTAGAGCTCACCGAACCCATTGTGTTCCTTGATTGGCTTTTTGAAAGGGGGACTCGGTGTCCTCCACTCACCCGGTGATGTTTGTGGTCGGTGCAGGCTGTTGTGTTTTTGCTTTTTTGTTTTTTTTTTTTTTTAAACACAAACTCAGTGTGTGGAGGCCTTTATTTTACTATATTGCCATATTATAGTTAGATTACTAGAATATTAGTGTATTTGGCAGACCTGGGAATGGAACCCAGGGCTTCGTGTGTGCTAGGCAGGCGCTAGGCCACCAAAATAAATTTAAAAAAATGACACCCCCCAACCCACAGAATACACTGATTTTAGAAGAAAACCCACCACTTTAAGGTTGGGTATGTCATCTGTGTCTGTAGAGAATTCAATTGGCTTTTAATCCGTAAGATCTTCAGTTATAAGGCAATAGGATGCCTCTTCTTGTCACGTGGGGCCATGTGAAGGCAAACATTTATTTTCCTATGTCCCATTCTGTAAAACTGAACTTGAAAATATGTCAGTCATTTAGTGAAAACACCCTTCACCTCTCAGTTCTGCCTCAGTAGAAAAGCAGTGAACACATGGTCATATTAGGAATGTCTTTCTGGCCTTTTTTTTTTTTTTTTTTTTTTTTTTTTTTGTGCATGTGGAAATGCTTGAGGTAGTGATGGTACCATTGACCAGTCAGTCTCTTGGAATGGACTCAATTGAATTGTTTGCAAATTAGATGGGGTAGCTCTCCTCAGCATCATTATGTCAGTCTTGCTCTTAGGATGACATCATTGGATATTTTCTCATAACCACTGACAGTGTATTTGAGAGGAACTACCCTGTTTCCCTGGGGCCCATGCTGAGCTTTGGAAGTCCAGTGGTTGGTATTTTCTGTTTTCTGAAGCGTATATTCATTCATTTTTGAAATGATATATGTGGAGAGGCACCTTAGTAATGTGTGCCATTAGGCAGAATCCATTGTGTTCCTTTGAGTTGGCTTGGAGTACCTTAAATAGGGACTTGAGCTTCTCTAGTTCCCTGGTGGCATTTGGACAGGCAGCATTTTCAGAGCAGAACTGAGTTTAACAGGTATCTGAGATTAGCACTCAGTACAGTTTGTTCCTGGATGGAACATGTGCGTACTGTGTACCTCCACCACTGAGAAATCAGAGAGCAAGTGAAGCTTATCTCATGTCTGCCAAATTTGGCCTTTCAGGGATTTGCCATGAAAAATGGAAATAAAAAACAAAGCAAAACAGAGTAATAACTGTAACAATACAGTCAGCCTGCATGTCTTTGGATTCTGTTTCCATAGATTTAGTCATGATTTGAAAATACCCCCATAATGCGTCTGTATGGAAAGTAAGCATAGTATATGCATTGTTTTAGGTATTGTAAGTAACGAAGAGATTAAAGTATGTGCAGGATTGTGTTTAAGTCATATGCAGACCCTGCCATTTTGGGTAAAAGACTAGAGCTTATGTGGCCTCTGGGATGAAATGGGGCTGAGGGATCATTTCTATGCATGAGTGTGCCACCCTTTACTCTGGGAGAAAATTAACCATTGAATCCTGTGATGTTGGTACTTGTGAAGCTGGTATCTAAACCATTGTTAGGTCTGAAAATATAGTAACATTTGCATTGCAGGATGCGAAAAGTGGGAAAGTACTATTTTCTAATTTAAGGAGAGAAAATAAGGTGCCAGCAATAAATAGAGAATATTCCATTTTCTAATTCATTTAATTCATTCCTTCTCTGTTTTTCCCAATGTTGAGTAGAGACCAATATACTCTTGAGGATTTCATTGTTGTCTGCTGTGGCAGCATGAGATACAGTGAACAAGGAGGGCCTTAAGTCTTAGGTACATCTACTGTGAACCAGTAGGGGTGTCTGATACCTCAAAACCTTGGGCTTATTACCAGGTTTTTAATGATAAGAATTCATTAAAATCATTGTGATGACTAGATGCTGCTTCACAACATACACTGCTTAGAAGTGAACTACGAGCTGCTGTCACCAGGATCGAAGTGACTGTGTTTAAATTAACTCTCGTCTTTGCACCTTGAGGCCTTAAATTTTAAAGGTCCATCGAGTATATGTTGAAGAAATATAGCAAGAACTTTTGTGATCATGAAACTCATGCAGAAGATTTAGTTGGATTGTTCTTTAGACAGGAATTAAAGATATTGTTCCCTCTTTCTACACTTTAATAAATTGGAAGGAAAGCAGCAATTGTGACTCCTCATTAGTCTTGTATAATTTTAAGTGTATTTATAGTGTGCTGTTTTTAAAATATCCAGTATTTGAGGCAGGGTGAAGTGTTTACTGATAAAGCATTAATTTTATTATGAATGAAGATTACAACTGTGATGTTGGGCCTTCAGCTTTGCTGAGTTATAATTTAAAAAAATGTGTATATTGAAGATAAACAACATGTTTTCATTTGCTCTAAATACTATATGATAATAATTATAATTGAGCTAATTAATATACCCTTATCTTCATGTAGCTAGCATCTATTGTGTTGCAAATGTTTGTGGCGTATTCTCAGTCATTTTTGTAGTATACAGCATGCCATTATTAACTTTAATTATTATATTACATACTGTCTCCTGAACTTATTTGATAATTGGAAATTTATATTCTTAGGCATGCATCTCATTATACTTCTGGTAATGATCATTGTACTCTGATCCTATGAATTTTGTTATTTTATGTTATGCAGTATTCAGCTTCTGTGTCTGGCTTATTTCACTTAGCACACTGCTTTCCAGGTTTTTCTAGGTTGCTGCAGACAGCAGGCTTTCCATCTAATGACAAAATCTCTCTCTCTCTCTTTCTGTTTACATGTGTATATGTATACATACAGAATATATACATGGACACACCCACCTTTTCTTTAACTATTCATTAGTCAGCAGACTTAGTCTTTAAGTTCAGTTCCATATCTTAAGTTATTGTGAATGATCTGGTGAATGAGTTCAGATATTGATGATTTTATTTCCTTTGGTTATATATAAAAAGTGGAATTGCTAGGTCATTTGATAGTTTGGTTTCTGATTTTTTTGAGAAACCTTTAGTTGCTCTCTCATTGTCCTTTAAGTAAACAAAAAGAAGATATCCTAATAATGTATTTATTAGTGAATGGTGAGAGTATTGTAAACAAATGTTTATTACAGTCACATAACCTTCAACCAGGTGAAGACTAGAGGGACTTAGTGCTTTAGAACTCTGTGATTTTCATAGTGGGTTTCATCCAGGATAAAGTAGCCAGAGAATACTTATCAAAAGACTAGATATCTTCTCACCTGACCTCAGACTGGAACATTCAGTGAGTTCAGTGGAAACACATTATTATGCAGATAGTTAGTCAGGGGATTAAAAAGAAAGGTTTGTTATGTCTGCTGTAGCTAGGAACCAGAGGAGAGGCCTTGTACATTTTGGCTGCTTGCTTCTGTTCTCAGAAATGCCACTCTGTTCACATAGAGATAATTTCTAGAGTTGAGCAGTTGAGAAGAACCCTTTGAGGTCATGCCATTTTTTAAGTGAAAGAATAAGGTTGATAGAGAAGACATCCATATCAAAATCTGAATAGATGGTGAAGCAAGTTTAATAATAATGTTTTTTTTTTTTTTTTTTTTTTTTTCCTTGAATGTGGAATGTGGGAGCATTTCTTAAAGATGGTACCACCATCTGTTCAGGGTATAGATTCAGTTTGTTTCCGAGATAGGGTGCTGGCTAGCTTGGTTCTTCATAGTCCAGGCTGGCCCTCAGCTCCTCAGTTCTTGGCAGTCCTTTTCCTTCTACCAGTTGAGTGCTGGTATCACAGGCATAGATCACAATTTTCAGAGAGTTTGGGTGCATGCGTGCATGTGTGTGCACATACTTTCTGAGAGGTTTCTCACTGAACCTAAAGCTCACTGATTAGGCTGCCCTGGTTGTCCAGAGAGGTTCAGGAATCTACCACTCTCCACTGTAGAGTTACAGATGTGTATTTCCATGCTCAGCTTCTTATGTGGATGCTGGAGATCCAAACCTTGATACTCAGTTTTGCATAGCATGTATTTTACCAACTGAGCCATCTTCCCAGCCTCCAGAGTGTGGGCCCTTAACTGATAATAGAGAAATGACAATTTAGCCAGCACATGTTATAGTCAGTCACCATGCTAGCTAGATACAGCATGTATATCTAAGGAGATAGGTTTTATTCTCGTAGACCTTATTTATGTACTTTATTTATGGCATTGTTGTTACCCTTCAGGGGAGTGATGTCTTAAGAAGTAAAAAAGTTAGCCAGGGGGTGTGGCTCACATCTTTAATCCCAGCACTCAGGAGGCAGAGGCAGGCAGATCTCTGAGTTTGAGGCCAGACTGGTCTACAAAGTGTTCCAGGACAGACTCCAAAGCTATACAGAGAAACCCTGTCTTAAAAAACAAAACAAAACAACCCCCCTCCCAAAATTCCCATATTAATGCAGTACGGAGTTTGTTTATAGCTTTCTAAAATTGCTTACCTTAGAGTTTATAGCCTGGATTATGACATTTGGTTTGGTGTTAGAATAATCCATGAAGTTTTTTAAAAAAATCTGTTTTCTTGGCCATTATTCTTGGAGATTTTTGACTCGTTAAAGTTTATAAAAATTGCCTTGAAATTATGTTCTTAATGAAGTTACTTTGGGTTGACTAAAGCAGTCCATGAGTTAAATCTACTGTCGTTTCTGTAATAAGATTGCTTTCAAGGCCTGGAGAGCTAGCACAGTTGAAAAAGTGCTTGTAATGAGGACCTGAGTTTGATCTCCAGAACCATGTGAAAATGCTGGGCATGGAAGCGTATTCTTGTAATTCCAGTGCTGGGGAGAAAAAGGGTACCTGGGTCTCCCTGGCTAGCCAGTCTAGCCAATTTGGTAAGCATCAGTCCAAAGACAAACACTATCTCAAAGACAGGAATGGCATTCCTGTTCTCTGTACACATGCTCACAGACATGCATATGCACCTGCACAAATGCAATGTACCTGCATATTGCTTTAAAAATATAAATTGTATTTTTAAATATTAATCCAGATTTTTATTTGCAGGGATTACTCTGAGTATATACCCATATCTTATTTATTTCCATGTTGGTATATGACATCATAATAGTTGCATTGTGATTAAAGTCTTATAAATTAATTTTTTCCAACTAGCCCCATTAAAAAAGACAGATTCTGCCTCATGATATTTTTCATTATTTCCCTATTTCTCAACTCTATCCTTTCATTATAGATAGCATTACTAATAAAAGAGATAATTCTATGAAGTATCTTAGCCTATGTTCTACATGAAGCTATTAGGATCCCTTTGAAATTTCCTGTGTTTATCTACATAAAGAATAGATTAAAAGGTTGACATATAGTGAATATGAGTATACCTTTATTAAACAGGTAGATAGAAGTGACTATATTTTGGTTATGGTTTTAAGAGGAGAAAATTCTAATAAAATAGTTAATCTGTATGTAATAAAAAATTTCAGATAATCATATTAGTTTATTCATTTATTTACTTTATCGAGGGGGCAGTCTTGACTGTGTAGCTCTGGTCTGGCTGGCTAGAACTTAATGTATAGACCTGGTTGTTTTGAAACCTGTGGTAATCTTTCAGCTTCTGTCTTCTTAGTGCTGAAAAATTTATGTGTGTGCTACCATGCATTAAGTAGGAGTTGGTTTTTAATTTTTAATTTAGTTAAAACATAAATCTGTTTAGCATTTTGCACATTTGTGTGTATGTGTGTGTGTGTGATATATGTGTATGTGAGCATGTGAACCTTGAAGTACATATTCATATCAGAGGACAAATTTGTGTAGTCGGTTCTCTTTTCCATCTTTAACATGGGTTGTGGTTTTGAACTCAGGTCATCAGGCTCCTGCAGTAAGTGCCATCTAGTTGGCCTAAATTGGATTTAGGCCATCTGTGATACTGAGATGACTCACATACCTCTGCCATAGGGTATAGTAATATTTATTAGGGAATATGCTGGGAAAAGCTGGATTTTGGGATGCTTGCAACTATATCATAAAAGAAAAATGCTAACTGTTGACTGAGAAATTGATACGCTTGAATAGTATAAAGCCCTTACTCAGGCTGACCTCCAGCTTCTTTGCAGAATTATAGCTTGAGAATTTGTGAAGTGACAAATGTGAACGATTGATGCACAAGAGTTCCATTCTTAGAAGCTCAATTGAAGATGCTTTTATTTGTCTTGTAATTCACAGGGAGAATGATGAATCAGTGAAAGAAGAAAAATCTGATTTAAAAGAAAAGTCTACAGGAAATAAGAAGGCCAATCGATTTCATCCTTATTCAAAAGATAAGAATTCGGGCACTGGAGAAAAGAAAGGTCCAAATCGGAACCGAGTATTCATTAGCAACATCCCCTATGACATGAAATGGCAGGCTATTAAAGACTTGATGAGAGAAAAAGGTAACAGTTTCTGCAGTAACTTACTGTTGTGATTGTCATAGGAGGGGGAGGAAATAAGCAAACTTTTTATTCCTCTTAGCCACACAGACTCAAAAAGAAAAAAGAAAAAGACTTTTCTTTCTTGACATGTGAATTAATCTTTTCTTTTTCTTCCACTTGGCAATTTCATTACAAGGAAGTATGGATAAATGAAGTATTTTTTTGCCATTTTAGTGGGATAGTGAAGCCAGCATCTGCATGCCACCAAGAATTTTGTTAAAGTGATTGCTTTGTCTAGTTGAAGATTTTATAGATTTTAAAGACTGTTGCATTAGTTAAGCAATGCATCTAGCTTGTTAATGTATGTATAATAAGGTCGATTTTTTTCCCCCCCAAAGATGTTTTTGGTGGAGTCTGGAATCTGGCTGTGGAATTCATTTTGCTTGCATTGTCACGACTGCCATGATGCTGTCTTTGCAGTTCTGTACTAAATTTGTGTTACTGCTGCTGCAGTTTTGTTTTCAGAATAACCTGAAAACCTTCATCTTATGCACATGCTTGGTTTTGGGGGAAAACAATTTCAATACTTGATCTTGTAAAAGCTAGTTCTGTTATCTCTTGAAAAATTGAGGTTCAACAGTCCTGCAAACTATGTACTTGGCTTTGAGAGTGATCTTCTCTAATAATTTTTTTTAATTGCATTGGTGTATCTGTTGTAAGGTGACAACTATTTGACTGGTTTTATTCACTGACTTTATTTAGAAGTGTGTGGCTTGCTGTGAAGCATGACTTGTAAATTTAGTTTACTGATGGCAAACATGATTGAAGACACTCAGGTAGGAAGTCACCTTAAAACAGCTGTTGTGTGTAGGCTGACCAATGTTGTTAATATGACAGGCTGAGGGATCATTTGTATGTATATGTGCATTTGTTCACCAACCACATCATGCTGGCCAAATATGATCTGCAGTATGAATTGGGTTAATATGGTTGTTAGCTTTTTTAGAGAATGTGGATGATGTAATTTCTGAAAATTAGTTAAATTTCTATAGCTATTGATAGGAGGTATGTTGATCTGGTCCTGATTGCTGGTGAATAATAGGTGCTTTTCTGTAGAGTTGTGCACAGGTGTGCAGTAAAGCAAGATACTGGTGTTTAAATGTATTGTTTCTTGGTATCTTCCTTTTGTATGTCTTATGTAGTTGGTGAGGTTACATACGTGGAGCTCTTTAAGGATGCGGAAGGAAAATCAAGGGTAAGTGCTGTGGGCCATAATCTGCTTGAGGTTTAAAAGTTCCTCAGCAGTTTACTTTTGTATAATACTCTATCAGACTTTTGGAAACTTAAGTTTCATTTTGTTTTACTTTAAGATTTGAGGTTTTTATACTAGCAAGTCTGACATGCCAACCAAACCAGCTTCCTGAAAGGGATGATGGGTTTTGCAAATATTCAAAAAGGGTATTCATTTTTCTAATGCTTTAAGGTATGCTTTTTCTTAGCTAATAAAATTTAATAAAGTTTTTCTTGTTGTATTTTGATGTCTTCAGGGATATTTTAAGTCACTGAATTGTTAATATTCCCAAGAGTTTCATGAGAGGCCTGTGGCTTAAAGGTGTTAATTTAGAATATAATTTGAAACTTTTATTGAAAAGCTTAATTTGGTAGCCTTCAGGACCATGTAAGAGGCAGTGCTCTGACCATTTGGTATGAATGATGTCTATGACTAAGTTGACCTAGAAGGCTGATGATAGATTTTGATTTAGCAGCATGTGTATATCGAAGAATATAATGGAAATCTTTTAATAGTGTCTCATCATATTCATAAAATGGTTGGGTACAAACTTTGTCATCACATTTAAGTGGCACTTTGAATAGTAATCACAGGAATTCTTTTTTAAAAAAAGTGATTCTGTAAGTTTCCTTAGCATGGGTATTTTATTTTACACGTTTCCAACTAGATGCTCCTAAATTGTGTTCACCCAGTTTTAATCTGATAGATATCTTTATTAAACATAAAATTCATGGGGACTGGAGAGATGGCTCATCAGTTAAGAGTACTGGCTGCTCTTCCAGAGGACCTGGGCTCAATTCCTACCACCACTGGCAGCTCACAACTCTTTGAAACTCAGGTTCCAGGAGATCTGACACCCTCTTCCATTCTCTGTTGTTACTAGACCCACACATTGTATATAGCCATACATGCAGACAAAATATCCATACACATAAAATAATAATTTTTTAAAAAAATTATGTTTATTTGCTATTTTAGTTAGATCTAAAAAGCATATTGTACACATTACATCTTTTGAAATACGTATTACTGTGCTAGAACATGTATATTTGAGCCTTCAGATTCTTCCTTTATTTACTGTTGACTGAATTTGTACAGTGGTACTAGTTTTAATTTTAAGAAGTCACTTGAAAATGAGAATGTACTCGAAGCTTGTATGTAACATTAGATTGATTTAAAAGTTTGTAGAAAATGCATGGTCACTTGCCTGTTACATTCTGGAGGTGTAAAAGAAAAAGAAAATGTCTTCTTGCTTACTTTTGATGACTTAAATATTAGTATCTTTAATTAAGTTCAACTACTGACCTAAAATTTTTTTTTCTTTTGCATATATTGACAATCTACCGGATATAGGGTTGTGGGTAAGAATATTTTTAAGTATCTTAAATCAAATTAATCTTGTGATTTTAGGAATGAGAAATCTTTGTACATAAGCATTTCTTATATATTTTTCCCTATTAAGTGTGGTTGAATTTAAAGATGAAGAATTTGTAAAGAAAGCACTAGAAACTATGAATAAATATGACCTCAGTGGAAGACCTCTGAATATTAAAGAGGTAAGGTTTTTTCTTGTTTTGTATTTGGAACTTAAATATCATATGTGCATATGTCCTTTCACTTTTTATTTTTTTTTCTCATTTAGCTGTCTGACAACTTGTTTTTTAAGGATAGGTGTTTATTAAAAAATTTTGGCTAGTGATGATTTTGCTTGCAGATTTGCTATTAATCCTTAAGTTATTCTTTATATTTAATTGATGTCATGTTATAGCTAGATAGAGGTCCCCAATTTATAACAAAAAATGAGGACCCATAAATTTAAAGATGACAAACTTAAGGTGAAAACTTCATTTACTATAAATACTTTAAGTTTTTAGACTTGTTTAATTTGAAAATTTAATAGGTATTATTGTTTATTACTGGTTGCTTGATAATACACTGAGCTTGTGGATTTGAATGAGGTTGGTATTCATCTTTAATAAAATTAATTTAGATTCTATAAGATTAGAGTTTAAGAAGCATTGTAACTTATTGAGATATATAACTAGAATTTAGAATAATCTACAATAGGAGTTTTCTTTTTGTATAGAATTGTGGTCGTATAAATAGATTGACAAATGATCAGAATGTACTTTATAAAATAATACTTACAGGAGTACTTGATCATGGTAATAATTAACTTGAATAACATAATTTCATGAGCTCTTATTTTATGTTGTTAATTTTACCCTAGACCCATTTGTACACATATCCTTACCTAATCTGTATTGAAAGGAATAGGCAGCTGGGTGGTAGTGGTGCACGTCTTTAATCCTAGCACTTCGTAGGCAGAGATAGGCAGATCTCTGAGTTTGAGGCCAGCCTGGTCTACAGAGTGAGTTTTAGGGCAGCCAGAGCTAGCTACATAGAAAAACTGGAAAAAAAAGGTGGGGGGGGGGGAGGGAAGACAGAAATAGGCAATGTTATTTTGAGTCTTTGAAATGTTGTACTAATATTGGTGCTATTCCTTGGCTGGCATTTAGTATGAGAACAGTAATTTTGAGTTCTGTCCTTTTATAGCCAGGTGACAGGACATGTAGCCTCTCTTCTCTAGTCTTTACTACTTATTATAATACTGCCCATCATACCTACCATGACTTTTATGAAGATCAAGTGTTATACCTCATTCTCTGTCACTAGAATAGCCAAATGACCCAGGCAGAGCAAATCACTTAACCTTTGTTAAGTTTCCTTATCACTGAGATAGGAGAAATACTAGTCTCTCTGGTAGTGAAGACTCAAAGTGTTAATCAGTGTTTCTTAGTAACTATGCATGTGATATTATTATGTAAAACTATTAGCACAGTGCTTAAAATAGTCTAACTATATCGTGCATGTAAGCTGTAAAAACGATTCCTGTTAGTGATTGTTGATACCGTGTTCTTTAGTGTGATGATAGCTTGAATGGCTTGGTACCAAAATATTCATGTGTCCTACATTCTTTACTGGAATTATCCTCTAAATTCCTTGAATTCTGTTTGATCCTGGGATTATAATTTGCTAAAAAAATGTTGACAGAGACCTGGAGATTTGGTAGGGAGTGTTTAAGCTTTGTTCTTTGACTAGTCATTTATTTGGTGCTTTTATGAATAAGCCAGGGATAAGGCTTTAGAAATGTGCTAGTATCCTAAATAATTTGTTCCAATTTGTAATCTAATAATTTAATAATCATAATCTGCTATTTTATGATCTGTTTCTCTTTAAAGGAAACATGTATTATAAAAAGCTCCATAGAGACACTGTAGACATCAAGCATACTGTGTTTATAGTATCTTTCTGTTTTTAATTGACAAAGGTGGTCATGTGATTGTGTTCCTTTAAATTGAAGCATATTTTAGAGCCCAGATCTATTGTGGAGACCTTAGAATGAAGTTTATAGGACGTCTCTATTTCTAACTATTTTAGAAGGAAAAAAAGGGGAGGGTCAAATTCAATTTTACTAAATAATGTAGGATTTATTTAACTTTGGCTAATGTTCGGTAAAAGCATTCATTTACCTGGGGATATCCAATTTACAAATCAGTGACTGATAAAACTGCTGAGGATGGCTTGGCTGGTTATTCAAAAAGAAGGTGTGTTCCTTATCAGGTCTTTAGAAATCTATCCGATTGAATGAAGATGAGTAGGAGTTGCATGTGTACATATTAGGTCCAATAATAGCATTAACAGTTAGTGATTGGCAGGTTGGATAGCAAGGGGAAAAGAAGAATAAAAAATAAGATCATATATGATTTGTTTATGTGTGTATTATATATATATATATATATAGTTCTTATGTGTGAAAAAAACAAATATTACTGTTAATACAACCTATGTATTTTAATAGTTGACAGGGCTTTCTCTTTTTTTTTAATCCTTTATGTAAGGACTATTATCAATTTTTTCTTTTTGTACAAGTGTTTCAATTCTCAAACCTGAAACATATGACTGTCTTAATATCTTGTTGCTGTAATAAAATACTAGAATAAAATCAAGTTAAGGGATAGTTTATTTTAGCTCTCACTTTTAAGTGAGGTCCAACGTTGTGGGGAATTGAAGGCAGCAGGAGCCTGCAGCAGCTGAATCCATTATCAGGAAGCAGAGAGATAGGAATTCCTGCTCACCTCATGTCCTTCATTTTATGCATCCCAGGATCCAGTACAGGGAGTGGTCCTGCTGATAATTAAAAGTAGCTATAATTAACGTGGTCAAGGTTATTCCCCACAAGCATGCCCAGAAATAATTTCTTTCCCAGGTGATTCTAGATTCCACCAAATGACAGAATGAGCACTAACCATCCTATTTATTAACTTTTAAAAGTCTTACAGCAATTCTTTGGTAACACTTCTGTAATTGTTTTAATTTCTTTCTCATGAAGAAACACATTCAAGTCCAGCATACTTCTATTCTTCCATTCATTCTTTTCCCTTTCCTTTTGTCCTTCCAACTATGCTGGAAATTTAATGAAACCATCCTTTCTTATTTTACTTTATTGTTTATTTTTTGGTTTTCCGAGACAGGGTTTCTCTGTGTAGTCCTGGCTGTCCTGGTATTCACTCTGTAGACCAGGCTGGCCTTGAGCTTATAGAGATCTGCTTACTCTGTCTCACGAGTGCTGGGATTAAAGGTGTGTGTCATCACCACCCGGCTACTTTACTATTATTATTTTAATCAATATTTACAGACTAGCAACAGCAGAGAAGTTTTTGATATAATATTTTTATTCTTTGAGTGCTCTTCACAGATGCACTCCTACCTCCCTTATTTACCAACTTTCTTTGTGTCCCTCCCAAATAGTTTTTAAAACCTGAGTCCAGTTTGAGCTAATCATATTCTCCTGTGTGTGGGGGGGATCCACTATTTCATGACTGACCTGCCAGGGATTATACCTTTACAGAAAACTGACACTCTCTTCCTAGAAATTATCAACTGCCAGTAGATCCCATTTAATTCCTTCTTATAATGTTGACTGGACTGATCTCGAGCAGGCAAGCACAAGTTCTGTGAGTTCATGAATAAGAAAGAATTTTTGGCATAGTAATTTGTATGCAGATGCTCATCCTCTCATTTTCTATAGTCTTATGTGTGTTGTGTTGTTGACCTTCTACTTCGTGGAATGAGTGGGTAGTTTGAAACACATCTGTACTTGCCTTTCTAGTTTTTATAAAGGATATTTCTTTTAAAAGTTAATGATCCTAAAAATACTTGTACAGACCCTTTTCATTGTTGAGGAAGGTAAGAGATTAAACTATGGATTATTGTATTCTGTTCAGGAGTGACGTCAACAAATGATAATAAACTTCCTCTAATTCAGTATTCCTAAGTGTATAGTAGTGTGTCCTGCTATTGAGAGGCTGTGAATGAGTCTGAATCTGACATTCCTTTGGCTATCTAGTGGTGAGCGTTCACCGTTAACTGCATTGTGGAAAGAAGAGAGGTACCGTAAGTGTTCTGTTATTCTTAGTAAGGACATTTATATGTATATGCACACACTTCTACAAAACGAATTTCAAGTTTCTCTGTGGCCTCAGTGACTGGAAAAAGGTACTTAGCTCCCATCTTGGACTCTGAAATCTTTTGCCTATCCACAGGTTTTTATGGAACTCATTTCCTGGATGAAAGAAAACAGAATAAGGAAAACCTTACTCTTCACAGATGTCAATACTTTGGTCCAGATGGGTTAGCTGCTGTTGAGTTTTTGCTGGCAGCTAACATTGAGTGTGCATTACAGGATCCTGATGGAGAAAATGCTCGCCGGGCACTGCAACGAACAGGAACATCATTTCAAGGATCGCATACCTCTGATGTGGGATCTGGGTTGGTGAATTTGCCACCTTCCATTCTCAATAACCCAAACATTCCTCCTGAGGTTATCAGCAATTTGCAGGCTGGTCGACTTGGTTCCACAATTTTTGTTGCTAATGTAAGTTTAAGCTTTTGTTGCTCCCATACTTAACTTTCATAGTGTCGTTATTTTGTTAGATATATGCTGATAGGTATGTAGATCATTCTTTTTATTTTTTAACTTAAGTAAATAAAGATAGAATTCTAAACTCAAACCTAATTTATGTATGTAGTCTGCAGTTAGATTCTAAAATATAACTAGTTAGCATTTTAAGACGGAACTTTGAAATTCTTATATACTAAACTGTTTTTGAAGTCACTTGTATGTATTTTTATTCATCTTGGTAGCTGAATTTCATTCTTGTAGTCTTGGTGTCTTAAGTGCCTATTGTGGTTGGTTTCCCATTTGTTTTATGCTCTTGAAAGTTAATAAAATGGACAATGTTTTCTAAAACCTGAATTTTCCTTAGTCAAAATAGATGCCTAAGTTTCACATGCATATAGCAGGATTAAGGAATTGAAAGGTGATTTGGGGAATTTAAATGAAGGTAGATGTAGCCGAACTGATTTTAAGCAAGACCTTTTTTTAATTGTATATCATTGGCTTATTGTTCAACAAGAATTACAGTTTATAGTTTTAGGAGTTTAGAAAAGGAACATTTGTTAAGAATGTAACTTTATATAATTTTATGTTAAGCTTGACTTCAAAGTTGGTTGGAAGAAGCTAAAGGAAGTGTTCAGCATAGCTGGAACTGTAAAGCGAGCAGATATTAAAGAAGACAAGGATGGCAAGAGCAGAGGCATGGGCACTGTCACTTTTGAGCAAGCAATTGAAGCAGTTCAAGCAATTTGTATCCTGATTTGTATTTTAGCATTAATGATTAATGAAGTTGGTGAGGCATAATACCTTTGTATGTTTCTTGTTTGTGTTATGTAATATTGCCTTGCTTGGAAGTTAGGCTTCTGTCTACAGCACTAAGACCTGTTGTTTGTTAAGTCTAGAGCCATGTCATCCAGGACTGGTAGGGATTTGTTTTCTGCTCTTCCAGCTGCAGCAAAATGTGTGTATGCAGACTTTTGACACTTACTTCTACCCCATTGCAATTGCTTTTGATGAAACCTAGTTTATTTTGGTTAGTTTAAGTTACAAATCAAAGGAAGAGACTAGTATGAATAAAGTCTAATGATAAAATAGTAAAGAAAGTTTCAGACTTAAATATGATAATTTCTCAGCAAGTATAATTTTACAGTCATCTTTACTGACTTTCCTTGACTGACTCAACAGCCATGTTCAATGGGCAGTTTTTATTTGATAGACCTATGCATGTGAAAATGGTGAGTTCCTACTTCTCATCTCAGCCTTCACTTGTTCAGACCTGTCCCTAGCACAACAGTTTTTGTTATCTGTTTATGAATTACAATAAACATTTTGTTTTTGCAATTAGGATGACAAATCTGTTCCTCATGAAGACTACCGTTCACATGATAGTAAGACATCACAATTACCACGTAAGTAGGAGCTGTTGTTAGAAAACAGCTGGAGTGTTTTGCATTATGTATAAAGCAGAAGTCTGTTTTTGTCACTCTCACACTCCTTACACTCTGAGATTAGTTTGGAATTTTGCACAGTTTGCTGCTTCTGATTAGGTATAGACTGAAAAGATAAATATAGGACTTTAAAAAAATTTGTTTTTGACTTTGTAGTTAGTGAGTACTAATATATTTGGTAAGTTCAAATACAAGAAAGGGGAAGAGTCTATAATTTTACTATAGATAACCACCATTTTTAACATTTTTTATGTATATTCTTGCTATCTTTCTGTGTGTGTGTGTGTGTGTGTGTGTGTGTGTGTGTGTTTGTGTGTGTGTTTAAATAGCTTCAGACTATTCTATTAGTTATTTAGAGGTACAACCATTTTTCCATGTTAAATTCTTTCCAAATATTTTTATTAGTGATCCATAATCATTTTTGCTGTTTTTTATTTTACATGATTTAACCTTTATTTCTTTAATAACCAATAAAGTTTAATGCATCCTTATGAAAATATTTTGCATTCAGAGAACATTGAGAACATTTAAGACTATGTATTTAACCTGCTGTCCTACTGTATATTCAACCTGTTTAGTTTAACCTGTCTTTAAGAGAACAGTGTAATAACCAGCCTCATTATGTGTTGGATTTCCCATGTAATCAGCTTTTTCAATCTATCCTACCTTTAATCTTAAGTTTTGTACTCCATGCCCTTGATCCAGAATAATGTGTGTGTCTATGTTGTGGTAATCATTTACTGAAAATGGCCAACAGCTTTAAGGTCAAAAGCAACCTTAAAACAGATATCCACCATAACTAAATGTTGGAAGCAACATAGGATATTGCTTGGTAATGTCTGTTTGCAGTGTTGTTTACTATTCTGGGTCAGTTAAATCTCTTCCCTTGTAAAAGTTCTGTTAAAAATTTCTGAAGAACATTTTATCCCATCCCTGTTCTGTGCTTTCTGTGATCTTGGTGAATACAGGACACAACTCTAGGTTAGAGACAGGCAGACATAGGGACAGTCAGATATCATAACAGTATTCAGGCAGTCACAGACACATACAACAGACAGACTGTAGACAGTCCAGTAACTACAAACTACTGACAGATGGAAGATAGAGAAACAAGTGGATAATTCAAATTTGGACTCACTCTTGGTCAGATTAATTTAATAGGAAGTCTGTGTTTTTGTTCTTTAATGTGATATTGATACAATTTGGTGCCTCTGAGATTATCTTAAATATCTTAACCAGCATAGCAGAGTAAATTAAATTTTTTGTTTAAAAATATTGGCTGTTTTCATTATTTTCTCTAAGATGTTCTGAGCCATGCCTGGTGGCACAGACCTGTGATCCTCAAGAGGCTAAGGCAGGGGAATCTAAATAAGTTAAAGGTCTGCCTCACCTGTAGAGTGTGTTCCAAGCCAGCCTGGACAATTTAGTGAGACCTGGAGATAGACTCAGTGTAGAGCTCTTGCCTACCATCTATAAGTAGACTTGAAATGCTCCAACTCCACATCCACCTCTCAATGTGTCACTCATGCAGAAGGGACAGTTCATGAATATGCTTATTATATCGATTTTAATAATGTGAGTATACATTTACATGTCCATAAACATAAAAATAACTCTTGAATTTAAGATGCAGTGACATCATTTGTTATTTCATAGTTCACTGTTTTGTGTTTTGGTCTTGATTCTGTTTTATTAATAAAGCTGATATCTTCATTTTAATGCATTATACTGAATTCATAATTTTTTTAAGACTTACCTATTTTTTGATATTTGCTAGAAATTGTGTAAAACTGGCCTTCACACATGTTTGTGGCTGACTTATTTACTGGCCATATTTTTTATTGCTGCCTGATGAATATCAAAGTTTTTTAAACATTAGTGTGTGTGTGTGTCTAAGAGTAAGAATAAGAGTGTGTGCTTGCTGTGGCAAGTGTGGTGGTCAGAGGACAACACTTGATAATCAAGTGTGGATTCCAGAGATTGAATCCAGGGTGTTAGGATTAGCAGTGAGTACTTTTACCCACTGATGGCTCAGTGTTACACTTTATTAAGAACACTGTCTTAAATTTTCACTATATTCATAGTTTTGTTTCCTCTTTATAAAGATGTTATTTTAATTATATGTATATATGTGTGTCAGTATGTAGGTTTGTGCATGTCAGTGCAGTGCCTTCAGAGGTGAGAAGAGGATGTGGGTTCCCCTGGTGCTGGAGTTACAGGTGGTTGTGAGTGGTACAGTGTGGATACTGGGAACCAAATTTGGGCAGGAACTGTTTTTCCTACCCAACATTGTTTCTCCATTTACTGGCTTATTATCATTAGAAACTTGTCACTTCGTTAGTGTTTATGAAGACTGAGCTTTGTTTTTAGTATATTTAATTTCTTTACTATTTCTTTCCTCCTTTCTTTAAGTTTAGTCTCATTTTTGCCCTGACTGAGTTGGATGCATATTTCACTTATTTTCATTCTCTCTTTTCTAACATAAGCAATTAAGATTATAAATTTAGCTACTGTACATAGGTTCTTCTTTGGACTAATTTTTTATTATAGTTCAGTATTACTAAACTACCACTACAATTTATTTTGAGTCTTGTATATTTGAAAATACAAATTTTGAATTTTCTAACTTAGGTCCAATGTGGCAATACAACGTAGTCCATATGATTGTGCTTCTATGAAATTCTCTGAATTTATTAGAATTTTATTGTGGGTGGCCCACCATAGGCCCATTTTTATCTCTTTTATATTTACTAAATCAAGTTTGTTAGTCATTTAAATTATCTTCTATCCTTTCTCATAAGTTTATTTGAGTTACCAGTTACCGAGAAGTGTTTAATGATAAAATTTCTTGGTACATAGACAAATTTACCCATTTTCTTCTTGTTGAAAATATTTTGAAGCTAAATTACCAAATATATCTAGAATTAGAATTGATGAAGAAATATTAGAATTGATGAAAAATGAAAGTTTATGAAAAATTTCTGGTGAATAATTTATTAGAAGGTGATTTTGTGATTGCCTTAAGTCCTTGTATAATACTAAATACAATAATTTTGTGTTGTTTCTTCATTTTATTTTAATGTTACAGTTTTTGATGTGTGTGTATTTAAATGTTTTAGGTGCAATTATATTTTTTAAAAATTGCCTTGACAGTCTTTTTATGTGAAGTTGAGTTCAAATTTCTTCACATCGGTCATTTGATTGGATGCACATTGGTCATTTGAATGGATTTCTGTTTTCTTATTTTCTGTTTCACTTTTGGCACTTTATAAATACTTGTCTTTCTCTGTTTCTGAGGTAACCCTGGATATTATGTATGTATAAATCTTCTTTTTTGTATCCTCTTTAATTCTAATGCCTTTGAATGCTATTAACACTCAGGGTTTTAATTCTGTTTTTCAGTGTCACAAAGTAGACATTATTTCTATTTTTTTCTATTCTCATTCCTCTACCCATAGACCTAGCTACTTGTTTTCTTCAATGAGGAGTTATTGTTAGTAAACACTCTCAATTTTGACTGCTCTGTAAATGTCTTTTAAGATAGTTTGACTATGTTAGAGTGTTTAACATTAAGTTACTTTGTCTTAGCACTTTGAGGATAGTTTAGTCTACTAGTTTCCATTGTTTTAATTTATAATTCAAATAAGCTCTTGGTTGAATTATCACCTCCCCCTCCCCCCGTTTTTATTGGTAGTCTGTTATTCAATGGAGCTTATTTTAAAGTATTGGTCTCTAGTGACAGTTTTACTGCAGTATGAGTGTGGATTACTGTTGAAATTTTATAGTGCTTACAATTTTAAAAGATAAATTCTGGAAGCTATGAACCACGTATGTTTGAACACTGCCCTTTCTCTTTGTATGGCAGTCTTCTTCCCAGTTACCTGGTCAAGAGTCCAACTGCATTTTTTTCTGTTAGCAGTAAATTTGAGTGCTCAAAACCTGAACAAAATCAAGTTGGTTGAAATCTCAGCCTGAGTGATTGGTGAAGGAGCACATGAAATCCCACCCCTAGCTTAGTGACTTCCCAGTCTCCAGTGGCTGCCCCTACACTCAAGCACGTACAATACTAAATGAACTCTAGGTTAAAAGAGCAACAAGAAAGCTTATGAAGTTGAGAAGAACAAGTGATGGGGAGGCTTATGTGGGAATTGGTAGGACTGGGGCAGTGATTTGATCAAAGCACATTTATGTGCATGTGTGATTGTCAAACAATAAATTTAAAAATCTGTGCTATTTATCATTTTTAAGTAATTTGTATTTTCATATTTTTTTTCTTGGATATGAGGTGATAGACTTTGTCAGATTTCTTAAGATGATTTTAAACTCCTATACTTTCCCCCTTCTTTCCTTCATCACATTTTATTACAAGTGGTAAGTGGGAAATTTCTCATTTCCCATGATTCTAATATTTTTTCCTTTTTAAATAACTTTGAGATTAATATAATTACTGTAAGATTTTTTCCTTTTTAAATAACTTTGAGATTAATATAATTACTATGATATCAGAACAGACAAGGTGGTGCTTGTACATGTGAGCATTGCTATGCTGTTGCTCCAAGTGGGTAACAGTTAGGTGGAGGAACACGTTAACTTCGTACTGATCTGTGCAGTTTAAAAGAGTGTGCGCCTGTACTCTTGAGTTCAGCAACTAACAGAATATAAGTCTTCCTCAGCCTCAAGCCCTAGTTGCTACCTTAGTGAGAATTTGGAAAAGATACTCGGGTTTTGTAAACAGCCATCCAGATTTTAGTTTTGCTGTCATTAAGCTTCCATCATTCAACTTAGTAATACTCCTTCCATCATTCATTAGCTAGTGTAAAAGTGGATTTTCTTCAGTCATTTTCATACATCTCATTGTTTCCCTTTGTCTCCTCTCACTCTTCCTCATCCTCTTGCTGGCCCTCTTTCTCCCCAGATAGTCTGCCTTCTTTCTTGCCACACATGTATATGTTGTGTGTATGGAGAATTAAATCTATATTCTATGTATGAGAGAAGGCATGCAATGTTTTGTCTTTTTCATTCCCATTACTTTTTTGTCCTCTTCCTCCTCTTCTGTAGTTGTGTTCTATTTCATATCACACATTTGTGTTTAAAATCTTCATGAAAGAAAATATGGTATTTATTCAAGTCTAGTTTATTTCATATGATGATCTCTGGTTCTGTTATCCTAAAAATTGTTTCATTCTTCTCTGTGAATGAGTAAAACTTCAATGTGTATATGTGTCATACTTTTCCATTTCAACAAAGTCTCCATACTTTGTCTACAGCAGTGCCAATTATTCTTTAAACAGCACCATAGCAGAGTTTTAAACAGATGGAAAAGAAAAATTTCATTCTGGTTATAGATCTCCACCCCTAAAAAATTTTTTTTTAAACCTTCCTTTTTTCCTAAGTGGGCCAATGTAATGTAATAGGCTTAGTGACTAGTCATGTCTGCTTCCTTTTGCATTAATGGTCAGTGCATTGCAAGAAAGCCCAACTTTCATCATCATTGCCTCAAGGAAATAACACGTGCTAGACTCTGGGAATGCAAAAGTGTTTATTGCTACTTTAGTGCACAGAAAGTTGAATCCACATACGACCTTGCAATCTAGGAAATAGCTTTATAACTCTTTCCTAGCTGATGTGTCCTTTTCCTATATTCTTTCCCCCTTCATCACCTAATAATACCACTCTTAGTTTCCTTTCTGCAGTTTTGCCCTAGACCCAGCCTACACCTATTTACTAGTCATATATACATTCATTATGGTCTGGGGTTTGCAAATGAGGGAGAAACATGCCTGGTGTTTCTGAGTTGCTCACCGCATTTGCTATTATGCTTTACAGGTTCACCTACAGATTTCATTGTTCTTTACAGCTGAATAAGTCTTTGTGAATATTAGCATGTTTTTATTATCTCTTTGTCTTTTGGTGGATATTTAGGCTGGTTTCTTTTTTAATTTTTATTTTTCCTTCATGGTAAATAGAGGAGTAATGGACATGAATGTGCAAGGATTTGAAGTTCTTTGGAAATAGACTCAGGAGTGGTTGTAGCTCCAGTTTTCTAAAGTTGGCTTTAATTAATTAATATATATACTATATATATTATATATTAATTAATATTAATTAATATATATATATATTCTCCTGAATTTAAAGACAAGACATAGACTCTAAATTTAATCACATAGGTAAGCAGTATTCAGGCAAGTTAAGGTCTCAAAAATTTCTTATATTTGCTTAGTAGATATGAGAACATTTGTTTTGTAAATGTAAATAAATGTTCATGATTAAGCTAGGCAATTAATATATATATATATATATATATATATTTTTTTTTTTTTTTTTTTTTTTCAATGTGAGTTTTTAAAAGGAATTTTAGGTGTATGGGTGTTTTTCTGCATCAGCTGTGTGCAGTGTCTATGGAGGCCAGAAGAGGGCTACAGATCCTCGCTGGAACTGGGGTTTTATATATGCTGTGATATGGGTGCTGAGAACAGAACCCAGGTCCTCTGCAAGAGTGACAAAGTGCTCTTAATTACTGAGTCATCTCCCTCTATACTTCCATTATTGTGAATTTTAAAATGGATTTGATGTTGATTGTTATATAGCTCTGGCTGGCTCTGAACTCACAATTCTCTGGTCTCTTCTTTGAGTGCTGAGAATGCTGACTAAAGGCTGTGTCCATTGCACAAGCTCAGACTTTATTCTTCAGTAGTTCTTGATTTTTCAATTTTACTTGTACTACTTTGAAAGTGATTCTGTTTTAGTGGTTCTACAATCTGGTCAAGATGCTCCTTTTCAGATATGTAATACTATGTGACTACCTGAGAATGCCTGACAAATGTCTCTGTACTCCAGGAAGGGTACCAGCCATAGACTATAGAAATTTACCTAAAGATTTCACCCAAGTCTTATTTTGTGAATTGGTAAATTGAATTGTCATTTACAGAAGCATAGTCAACTTACAGGTAGGTATACCAGCAAGAAATAGTCATGTGTGTCATTCATGCCTTTCCCATTTCCCAAGCTAATACGTTCTTTTGGGGTATAAGTGCTGCCTTGTTAGCTCCCTTCCTTACACAAAAGAATATTAGCAGCTTTGGGAGTGTCTCCGCTCTGATCTTAAGATTGGAGAAGAGAGTCCATGGCATTGTGACATGAGGTGATGTATTTCACGTTTCCCTGGGGTATGTGTGTGTGTTTTCCAGAGTTTGGGAGTGTGTAGGTGTGGAAGTGAGGCCAGAAAACAGTCTTGGGTATTTTTCTTCATGCAGTGTTTACTATTTTTTGAGACATTGTTTCTTACTGCCTAGAACTTGCTGAGAAAGCTAGGCTTGCTACCCAATGAGCTGTAAGGATCTATTAACCCTGTGAGCATTAAGATTAAAAGTGTGTTCATTCTGAGTATTAAATGTTTGCAGTACTAGCACTTTACTCAGGGAGCCATTTCTTCAGCCCTCTTGCCAGTTAGGCCTCTTGCAGGACCTTCAAGTGGAATATAAGCTGAACCTACTTCAAAAATTCTGTTCTTTCATAAATGGTGTTACAGTCTTTTTAATATGGTGTTTTATAAATGAAAACAAGAACCTGCTATTTGTAACCTTTGAGGATACCATTACAAGCATATAGCTAATTTTTAAGGCTAGTACCAGTTAGTTTTATATATGTGTCTTGGTAATGTTGTTATTTGGAATTTAGGTGGTCTTGGAGGCATTGGAATGGGACTTGGACCAGGTGGACAACCTATTAGTGCCAGCCAGTTGAACATAAGTGGTGTAATGGGAAATTTGGGTCCAAGTGGTAAGTTTTTCTTAAAACATTTCTAAGTGATCTATTTGCTATTTAATAAAGCTTATATTTATTAGTTTCCTTGTCTAGAGAACTTTGGTTTACAAATGACGAAGCCTGGAGAGCTGCTGACATGAAAAGAGGGCAGATGCAGGTCGGGACAGCCCCTGGGGCCAGGCATGTGAAAACTAGCTCTTGAGAGTCATGCATATTGAAGTGGCTTTAAGGTAGATGAATTCTTAACATAGTGCCCTGTACATAGTGGATTACAGGGTTTGTGGAATGGGTAGCAACATGACATAGCATAGGCAATTTAAATGTATTGCATTTGGAGGTCGCTATTGGCCCTCTTCTTGGACTCAGTTGTCATTAAAGATTGATTTTCAGCAAACTTTATTCTTTCAGGATTGAAAAATGTACCATGATTTTGCTAATGTTATGTTTCTTAATATTTACTATATTATAAAAAAACTTAACATTGTGAAAATTGACTTAAATAAGTCATATTTAACTCTGATGCCAACCTTAACCCTAAAAATTATATTTAATGCATATCAAATGAAACATGTAATAAACATAAGTACTGTTTTTAAGAAAATAAAGGGCTTCTAATGAAAATGAGAAGAGTGATTCTGTTTTTGGCATCTCTTTGTAGTGTTTGTGTTAGTGCAGATAGCTGTACTGCTATGTCTGCTGTGACAGCATGCACCATGTAGTTTATGGAAAGTTCCACGTTGTAGTCGTGAGAGGATAAGAGGAAGCAGCACTTTAACTCTGAAGTGTTTAGTGATGGAGATTATTTTATCTCTTGGCCCTTTGAAGGTCTCTAGACCATCCTTTGAGAATTGCATTTCAATTTATGGGCTGATACATTTGTCATAGTCTCCTTTTTGTTGAGTTGGTACAAACTTTATCAATTCTAAGGTGGTAATGGAAATCAGTCTCATTCTGAGGCAAAAAAGTATTTTCTTGTTTATTTTAGGATATCATTCATAACCTTCCCTTCTACACCAGCCTGTTAACAGCCGTGTTGAGAAGGAGTCTTTGCTTTGTAGTCTTATCACTAATCTGCTATAGTGATATCACTGTACCTGAAAGAGTACACACTGGTTCTAGATGCTCTCCAACTGGATGTTGTGTGTGACCAGTAAACTCTTTCTTATCTGATGTTCAGAGGCCCGTTTTGAAGACTGGTGACTAAGTCAGCCACTATGATGTAGCTCTGTAATCCATCCTTCTATACCCTGCACATGCTTCTCTAGTGTCCTGTTGTGACTAAACCAATGGTATTTATTTTGCTATAATGTCATTCGTTAGTCACAAAATAAGATTTACTGAAAGTACATACTGTGTATTTTATTTGAGGTATGGGAATGGATGGTCCGGGTTTTGGAGGAATGAATAGAATTGGAGGAGGTATGTATAAGTATTTGTTTTTGCATGTACTCATCGCCATTTTAAAGAAACTAGAAACTGTTGAGAATTCTAGAAAAAAGGTCATGGTTTATTGTTGGCTCATGTTGTAAATGCTGTTGGCAAAAATTGAGCCTAATATATCCTTAAAGGAAGGTGATGTGTTAAGTACCTGCAAAAGGTGGAATGGAGGAAGCACTTTCTGGTGACTTAACATTTCCAGAATGTACCATTCATTAACAGAGCTCCAGTCAAGTCTCAAAATTATTTTTTATTTCATAGGAGTTGGGTTTGGTGGTCTGGAAGCAATGAATAGCATGGCAGGATTTGGTGGAGTTGGCCGAATGGGAGGTAGGTGAATGTACACAGGGGGTTTCTACTGTCTTTACTTTCTCTAGTACTTAATACACATGTAGGACTAGATGCTGTAGAGGGTTTTAGAAGGCACTTGGACACTAGAGGACATGTGTAAACTTGCCAGGGAGGGAAGGAGTGGGTTGTGTAATGAGTGTATGAGGTAAGTTGGTGTGCCACAGGCTGTTCATTATTGATAACTTTTGTTCTTTTTTTCTTCAGTTATGCTTAGACATATTCCTGAATGGTTTTCTATGCATTGATGTACTTGAAGAAGGGTTTAATTTGTTGCACATCTTTTCAGAGCTATATCGTGGTGCAATGACTAGTAGCATGGAGCGAGATTTCGGCCGTGGTGATATTGGAATAAACCGAGGCTTTGGCGATTCCTTTGGTAGACTTGGTAGGGCTGGTTGTATACTTTTTTGCTTTTGCAGGTCATATTCTTAAAAGGAGTTCTTTTTGATGAAAAATTTTTAAAAGTTATAATTTATATAGTTACTAGTAGAAAACACTTTAGGATTTTAATATTATGGCTTTCTTTTACAGTATCTTAAATATTTTAACACTTATTTCCAGAAAATTTTATAAATGTTTAGTTATTTGTGAGTATAGTACCTTGGGAATTTTGAAGTGTCATTATTTAAATTAATTAGTATATTATCTTTCCATCCTTGTTTAGGCAGTGCAATGATTGGAGGGTTTGCAGGAAGAATAGGAGCTTCTAACATGGGTCCAGTAGGAACTGGAATAAGTAGGTTTAAATTTTAATAGAACTTACTGAATAGTATTTGAGTGCTTGCAAGGAGTTTGCAAGAGTAGTTATTGTAGTACAGTAATATTTTGCTCTATTGTGTTAATATGTCTTACCATATTTTGATGAACTTTAATGAGTTAAACATTTGTTTGGTTAATGCTTGAAAATTAACTTTGTTTTTGGTGTTTCTCAACTAATACCAGAATGTGTATTCAGTAGCCAGTACAAGAACTGTCTTTGCATATCCCATGTCACTAATGGCTGTTGCTTGAATGCCATCCTCACTTTTGTTTTATTTTGCACAGCAGCTACTAGCTTGTTTCATCTGTAAGCCTTTTGCCTTCTGGCAGATAGAGACATAACACCAAATTTTAGGGACTTCCTGAAGTTAAGGGATAAGGATGAATAGATGATTATTTTCCTCTCCTGTTAGACCTTTCTAAACAAGCATGTTGCAGCACTAGAGAATGCCAGATACCTCCCATCTACTCCCACATAATAAACCTCACATAATGCCTGCACTCACGACTGAGTTTCTGATGGGTGTTGCCAATAATTGATTGTGGCTATAAAATCTCCATACCTTGCTGACTTCCTTTGGGTGGTGAAATTTCAGGAAATAGGAAATAAACTTATTAAGCATGAATTCTGAAATCCTGTCTGCTGGATACATTTGCTTATTATGTGCTTCTCATTTTCTTTCCTGCTCTGCCATTCTTCAACATTCATTTTCCTCTCAGTAACTTCCTTACCTTCCCCTTTTATCTCAGTGCCTGCATTTCTGTTTTCCTGGTTACACCTGCTATTAACAGGGAGCCAGCTGGAGAGATATTAATTATGAGAAAGAAGAGTTACATTTTCAGAATGAGATCAGGAAAATGAAGGATGACAAGAAGTAAAGCCAGGGCAGTAGAGGAGATATGAACAAGAAACTAAATTCAAGCTTTGTGTAAGGGAGGGTACTCACAGTTTTTGTTTTTCCCTTTGCTAATTCTGTGTAATACTACTGAAAGTTGAATTGGTATCAAAGTAGAAGTTGTGTGGGAAACAGATGTGCACATACTGAGGTAAAAGGCAAACAAGGAAAGGAATGATGTGTAGGGGAGTGTGATGTGAGAGCAACTTGTATGCTAGAGTTGTAACAATTTGTTTTCAAGTTGTTATATTTGTTATTATTGCAAAAATGTAAGAATATGAAAGTGATTGGAGCATTTAAATATTCTATGTGAGATGTTTTATGATTATAATTTTATAGAGGCATATATAATTATATTATGACTAAAGTTTTCTTAACTAACCAAATGTATACCAAGCTATTACTTGTTTTGTTTTCCATGTGAAGATAATTTTCTATTATACAAATGAATTTTTCTGATTGTTCTCCTTTTTCTCTCTTGTCTTTCCTTTTGCTGCTTTTGTCTTTTAAAACTTGAAACTCCCAAATCCTCCTGCCCTTCTTCACACTGCAGGTGGCAGCATGGGTGGCATGAGCAGTGTGACTGGAGGCATGGGGATGGGACTGGACCGCATGAGCTCCAGCTTTGACAGGATGGGGCCAGGGATTGGAGCAATACTGGAAAGGAGCATCGATGTAGACCGAGGTTTTTTATCAGGTCCCATGGGAAGCGGAATGAGAGACAGATTAGGCTCCAAAGGCAACCAGATATTTGTTAGAAATGTAAGCAAATAAACATATTGGAAAGTTAAAATTCTTTTTATAACTTTGCGCGTGTGTGTGTGTGTGCATATATATAAATGCATATGTGTATGTGTGTGTGTATATGGAGGATATTTATTGTTAATTTTACTATTTGCATATAAATGGAAAATACAAATATATATATATGTGTGTCACTAATTTCTTTCATTCTAGTTACCTTTTGACTTGACTTGGCAGAAACTAAAAGAGAAATTCAGCCAATGTGGTAAGTATACCAGTAGATACAGATTGTGCTGGATATTTCTTGGGAGGAAAGTTTGATTTTTAAGCTTTGAAACACTATGTTTAGATCTTGGCTCATCCCAGTCATAGTCTTGTCTGACTCAACTTCAGATAAGTAATAGTTTTGTTGCCTGATGACTTAGAACGAACAATAGAGCTTAGTGCAGACTTGACAGGATAACCCATCATTACTTGTTGTAAAGAAGTTTTGTTTATTACCAGATTTTAAAGAGGTTGATATGTTTTTCCGTTAGAAGTTTTTTTTTCTCATGAGAAACATTAGTAAAAGGCATATTTACTTCTTTGCTGATGCATAGTTGATGGGAAAATCCATTCTGTACACTGTATTGCCTGCATATCATAGGAACCTTAAGCTATTAGCGTAGACCCTTGCTAGACACAGATACATTTTGGTACCTCTTCTAATCCTTTGGAAAATCTTCTTTGTTATAGGGAGACTAGCGACAGACTAAAATCACAATCCTAAGATACCGATCTAGAGCACATTATGCTGAAACAGGGCTGAAAGTAGTCATTTGGCCTCCTACAGTTAATAGAAAACTTAAGATCCACCACTTGCCTCTTCTAGAGAGCTGGGATTAAAGGTGTATTCATCTGTAAAAATACCTTTCTAGTTGAACTGGGTGCTACAGCCTGTAATTCCTTCTACTTGGGAGGCTGAGGCAGGATGCCTGGGCTAGAGTCAATTCAAAGTCAGCTTGGGCAGTTTATTGAGACTGTCTTGTTGTAAAAATAAAAAATGAGAGGAGTTGGAAGACACCAGGGAAATATGGCCCACCGAATCAACTAAGCAGGGCTCACATGGGCTCACAGAGACTGAAGCAGCAAGCATGGGGCCTGAATGATTCTGCATATGCTTTGGCTGTTAGGTTGGTGGTTTTGTGGGACTCGTAATAGTGGGAGTGGTTTTATTCTTGACCCTTTTGCCTGCTGTTGGGTTGCCTTGCCCAGCCCCTATATGATGACTGTTGCCTTGCCTTATTGTTCTTGTTTTGTCCTATTTGGCTTTTGTCTCTTGGAGGCCTGCTGTTTTCTGAGCAGGAAGTGGAGGTATGGGGAGTGAATGTGGGGGGAGGGTTGGGAGGAGTTGAAGGGCTGTGGTTGAGATTGTATGAGAGAAGAATCTTTTCAAAAAGATAAAACAACAACAACAGATTCAGAATAAAAAAATAAAAAGCAGAGATAAATTGAATGTTTCTTAGTGGTAGGGTGCTTGCCTGTCATGGATGAGGTTCTAGGCAGCTCCTAATACTGGAAGGGAATAAAAAAGCCTTTGTGAACTACTGTCAGGAGTATCTACAGGAATAAAATAGTATCCAGCTTCCTTTTAGCTTTTATTATAATGCTACTAATTTTCTTTCACCCAAAACTGAGGCTCTTTAGGGTAATTCTCACCTGTTTAAGTTAGTCCCTTTTATTATATCTGTACATCTAGAAGGGTTATAAAATGTTCATAAGTACTCTGTTATATCTTTATTCAGTTACTCATTTACTCATTAAATCTATGATACTGGTTTTTTTTTTTTTTTTTTTTTTTTTTTTGGCAGTCTGCTAGACCTTTGGAGATGAGCAGTAAAGAAACTAACTGAATCTGTATAGGGTGTTGTGTTGATGGCCCTTTTATTTTATATTAATTTAAAATTTGAAGAAGAGGCAGTTCTAACAGAAACCTTGTCAAATGCTTGTGAGTTCATGGTGATATATTGTTTATAATCTAATAAAGCCACTGAAGATCAGAAAGCAATGCTAGCCACAGCCATAAAAGATGGGCAGTTTGTGGTACACACCTTTAATCCCAGGACTCAAGGGACACAGGCAGATGGATCTCTGAGTTCAAGGTCATCCTGGGCTACATGAGAAAGAGAAACAGAGCTCATGCCTTTAATCCCCGCAGTAGGGAAGTGGAGACAGGAGTGATATGACTGGGTAGAGAGGAACATAAGGCAGGAAGAGACAGGAGTTCCCACAGAGGCACTTGGGGGAGAGCAGTGCAGTCTGGAGATGCAATCTGAGGTTCAGTGGGTCACCCCTGAGCATTGGTAGAAATGAGAAGTCTCTAGTGGCTATCTGCTTTGCTTCTCTGATCTTTAGCTTGTCTCTGGGTTTTTATTAATTGTGCTTTATGAGTTGGCAATTGTTGACTACTGAGAGAAAGCAGCATAGTGCATTATTTGGAAGGGTGTTGGTACCCTGTGTAGAGTAAGTATGAGCAGGTGCTCTTTTGAGATGAGGTAGGAGTAACACTTAACAGCCACAGCTAGGGTAGGGTAGCATTAACAGATAGTGATGGAGGGCGTTTTGTAAGAAGAGAAAGTATGGTCTTCATTTAGAAACAGTGGCTTGATTATATGGGACTCATTTCCTTCTCTTCTTTCCCTTTTGAATTAGTCGGTAGTTACAAGGTTAATGAGTTTGTTTGTTTGTTTGCTTGCTTGTCTTTCATTTCTAAATTAGGTATAAAAGCTACTTTTTTATTTTATATTTAGCACCATACTTTCATAATTCCATGTCATCCCATTTTTTTTTAACCAGAAGTTACATAGATGGCAAAGAAAGCAAGTTACATTAATACAGGACTAAATCTGTGTTGCCACAGTATTACCTGACATGTTTGAACTGAACCATCTGTTTCCTGCCATATCACATTATTTATAAGTCTTAAGAGCTTTTCTGTTTTAATAGTGTTCTTTTAACCTGACACTAACAAATAATGACCTCTTTAGTCATAAAAGCGGGTTTGATTGATTGTTCCTTTTGTTTTCCTGAGCCCAGACTAGCCAAGTAAATGTTCTTCCTTGCTTAGCAAGAATCTAGTGGTACTATAGACACAGTGTCTGTCAGGAAATAACTCACTGGCAGGTGCCTTGCCAATATAATCCCCAAAGGCAACATTATTGAACCCCAGATAGTAATATCATAGCTTTATTTAGGCAGATTTTGTTATTTGTTTATAAATGTATTAATTTGACTTATTTTTAGTTATGGTCTATGCCAGCATTCCCCCACATAATACATCATTTCCAAAAGTAATTGTCTGGACTAAGTAAAGTAGAAAGCATTCTTTTATTGTGTGCTAAGTAGTTCTTCATCTGCTCTGTGACCACAGTATATCTAATTTCCTCCTTATGGCAGAGCTTAGTCCTATACAATTGATAAAATGCCAGTCTTGTTTTTATTTTCTTGAAATCCTGCAAGACAGTAGGCCTTTTGAAGACTTCCTCATCATGTAAAATGTTAGGCAGATTGATTTTAATTATGTAAAACTTTACCTCCTAAATTATTTATTTTATAAAGAAAATACCTTAATCTGCATTTTCATAGGGTCCAAAAATGTAGGATTCACCTTAGTGTGGTAGTAAATGCTTGTTGTAGTCCTATCACTTGATGGCTGAGGCAGAAGGACTGCTTTGGCTATCCAGTAAATTATAAGGCCCTGGGCTCAGTCTCCAAGTTCTAGAAATAACCAAGCCAGCCAGCAATTTAGGATTATTTTCTTACTTGGGGTAGTCTAACTGTGGAAACAGGTGTGTGTGGCCTGATCTCTAGAGTGTAAGAATCCAAACTGAAAAAGTTCTTGTGTCTTAGCTGAGAGATCTTGTCAAGGGGAAGACCAGACCATGGTGAACTTAAGGAGTTTGGATTCGTAAGTGATGTCACCCTAACCTGACTGGGGCAATTGAAGAGGAAAGTAGAAACAGAATCTTGTCTGAAATATTGAAAGATAGTTTATGTAAGAGATAGTAATGTGTTTTCAAGATTGTAGCTCAAGTAAACCCCATCGTTGTTTATAGCCATATGCTGTAGAACTTAGAAAAACCTATATTTTTAGGTAAAACTAGAAAAAGGGAAGAACCTCCAGCTACAAAGGCTATAAAATGCTCTGTAGCCCTTGGAGATCTCTGTAAGTGCCATGTGCCAAAGCATGTTGCCTTAATGCCTTCCTGGGTTCCAGTTCCTTACAAGCTGGAGGATTTTGGAAGTTGCACTGTTTACTACTGTACTGGCTAATTTTGTGTCAACTTGACAGAAACTAGAGTCGCTTGAGAGAAAGGAATCTCAGTTGAAAAGTGCCTCTGTAAGATTGGGCTGTAGGGCATTTTCTTAATTAGTGATTGATAGGGGATGGCTCAGCTCATTATCGGTAGTGCCATCCCTGAGCTGCTGGCCCTTGGTACTAGAAAGCAAGGTTGAACAAGCTGCAAGAGCAAGCTAGTAAGCGGCACCCCTCCATAGCCTCTTGATCAGCTCCTGCCTCCAGGTCCCTGTCCTGCTTGAGTTCCTGTCCTAACCTCCTTTGATGATGAACATTGATTTGGAAGTGTAAGCTGAATAAACCCTTTCCTCTCCCACTTGCTTCTGATCTTATATTTCATCATAGCTATAGTAACCTTGACTAAGACAACCACTAATGTTTCTTTTATGTATGTTTCAATGTCATTCTGTTAACTTTTTTCCCACTATAAATTAAGATTACTGTTTTTCTTTTCTGTTTTACTAGTTATGGGCTAAATATTATTTCATTCTACTTTAATCATTATGTAATTTTTCTGGGATTAGTGTCTTTTTTAGGGATGTACTCAAGAATTTCTAGGCTTGCTTTATAAGACAAGATTCTGAATCAGTCTGACATTGTCTTTGACTATATTTGTTATTAGTTGGCTTTGAAAAGAAGGGCAATAGCAGAAAGTGGATGGAAACACAATAGTTGCCTAGGATGTTGTAGATTCATTAAGAGTAGTATTCATTTCCTTTGTCTGGAAAGGGCTTCTCTTGACACAGACCCTTGCCTTTTACTTTTTCTTGCTTTTTTTTTGTCCCTTTGTAAAACTAAATGAGTCTGACTGTCTGGTTTGGCTGCTGTAATGTTCAAAGTTTAGCTTGATTTGATGACATGTGCATCCTGGGTGGAGGAAGTAATACCTAAATAGTTGTGCCTTGAAGTTATGGCCTGTTTGGATTGGTCATCATGCATCTCAGTTGGCCTGAGCTATATATAGTCTTACTGGTCTGTCTTTATTTGCAAGTGGTTATCATTCCTCTTTGCTCTCAGAAGTCCTTAGATTTAATTGGTGTATTTTAAGGCTACTTTGAATTTGATATTACTGTTCTTATAGTAACTATAAATTTACTCAAGTTAACAGTGATGTTAATTGCATACAAATAGCTGTCAGCTCTTTAATATCATCATTGTTTTTATTTTTATCTTTATTGTTTTTTTTTTTTTTTTTTTTTTTTGGATTTTCAAGACAGGGTTTCTCTGTGTAGCTGGCCTCAAACTCACAGATATCTGCCTGCCCCTAACTCTCTAGTGCTGGAATTAAAGGTGTGCGCCTCCACCACCCGATTCAAATCTGCTGTCTTTTATAACCATTTCTTATTTGATGTCATCCTTAAGATTTTGAATCCTATTGTGATATTGACTAGATGGCTTTGTTAAAGTAGATGAAAAGTAGAATTGATGGGTCCTTTTGTGACCTGGCAGAACTTAGATATATGGACATCTGTTCTCATAAGGATGAAAATGTGAAATGAAGATAAAAGAGAAGGAAGAAGATTGAGGAAATTGAACAGTGAGCAGCTGTATAATTTTGACTAAAGATGTCATCTTATTAGGGGCCATGTTGACTTGGTAGTATTTGTGCTAGCTAGCCTTATTGCTATAACATCCTCTCTGGAAATTGGGGATTTAAAACCAAACTCAATGTCCAATTCCAGTTTTATGTAGGCTAATATATGTGTGTATACTTTAATATAGCAATTGTATTCAGACTATAGATTGATAATGCTCATACGTTTGTATTTTATATTAATATATTTAACTAAATTACCTGTGATGTCCATTGCTGTGAGGAGTCAAAAACTTGTCTAGTGAAATTGAACCCATTTAAATGGACTAGTAATTGTGTAACTCTTTTTACAGGTCATGTAATGTTTGCAGAAATAAAGATGGAGAATGGCAAGTCCAAAGGCTGTGGGACAGTTAGGTTTGAATCCCCCGAGTCAGCTGAAAAGGCCTGCAGAATAATGAACGGCATCAAAATCAGTGGCAGGGAAATCGATGTTCGCTTGGATCGTAATGCATAATTTCAAGCATGGTTGGAACATTCCTTCATCTGTTTATTGAATCTCCTAGTAAAAGTCATTTTTTAGTAATGTTGTATGCTTACAAATGCTGTAAAAATGAACTTCTAAAACTCCCACCAGCTTTTAACAGTATAATGTTGAAAAAATATACTGTGATTTTCGTTATCTCAAGTTTGCGTTTCTAAAGTCGGCAAGTCTGGTTTCAGTGGACAGACACACCATTTTTAATGAAATAAGCCATTTTGTTGTTTCCAGTAGTAGGGTTTGTTTGTTCTAATTTCTCCAATCTTGTAAGTTAACAGACACTTTAACCCCCCCCAAAATCTCTGCTTTGTATCAAATTGTTAATGAAAAGAAAGGGCTCAGACAAATTAGGATGTAAATTTGGTTTGGTTTAAATTACTTTCCTCTGCTTATAAAGAATAGTAATTAAGTGTTACATTCTAAAGTTGAGGGTTTTTTTTTTTTTTTTTTTTTTTTTGACGTAAATGAAGACATGGGTTTTTTTGTTTTTTTTTTCTTTTTTTTTTCTTTTTTTGCCCCTCTATTATTCCATTCCTTTTCCACATAACACTATTAAAACTATCAAACTCCAAAACCCCGTATTCTGTTACTTCCAATAATTCCAAGTTCATATAGAACTGATAAGGTAGCAAGTCCTAAGTATAACACTAGGCAGACCACCCCCAACTTTCGGTCTAGTTTCCAGCCATTAAAATGAACTGCTAAGAACAAAAAAATAATTGAAATGTTGAGAGAGATGGTTATGTAAGTGAGTCCCTTGCTATTCACTTCTACAGGAGCTGATGGATTTGTAAATGCAGTCTTAATAAACCAGGGAAGACCTAGGCATAACATATCAAACACATTGGATCCCACGATGTTAGATATAGCCATGTCTCCTTTACCTGCAAAAGAACAGCATGTTCTTAAAATGTGCACATCGATACTATATTTTATTAATACTCTTCATAAGGACACTGGATACTTTTTGTTGGTTAGTTTTAGAAAACTTATTGTTAGAACAAGAGTCTTATTGAATTTGTATTTCCTTGAGTTAGTATTTAAAGTCTTAACATTTATTTAATAATTACCTTTATTTATTAAACTGTTTTTAATAAGGTATGCAGCTTATTTGTTGCTTTTCATTCTCATTTGACAGTGAATTACCATCTAATGCACATATCAGGTAAATAGTCTTTGGGGGATTGGGTTGGTAGAATTAACCTGCTATTAAAAACTAAATGCTTCCTATGAGTCACTTCTTTTTTCTTCAGAGAATGTTATTACCTTTCCGTTCACTTGCTTTATGGTACTCAAGCTTAAAAGGACAGCCAGTGCCTCTGGGAGACTGCCAGTCTTACCTTTTCTTGCAACTAACACACTTGCAACTGTGTCTGGTATGCTTGTACCTGCTGCCAATAAAGTAAGGCCCATTACTGTGTCTGGAATTCCTAGTATTTCCCCTGTAATAGGCACAGAGACTGCAGGTTACAAATCACAAATCTTATATGAACCAGTTTTTGAAGACAGCTTGAATGCTTCTTCCCTATTCAGGAAAAGTATTTAGGTATGTCTAGATTTTTGAACCAATATATGCTTACTATATGGTTTCTAGATGGCAAAATATTTGAAATAGGTTGATGGTTCGGCTAACCAGGGCAGCACACATTTTTAATGACAGATATCTGAAGATATAGAGCAATGAGAAATCCTCATATTTGACATCTGGGGAAAGCTGTGGGTGTCACTGTTGCTTGCTGTATGGTGAAACTGATTGTTTACTTATTTTCTGTTTGAAGTTTCTTAAAGTACTTGAGAGTTAAAATACTTTGTAGCAGTTGTATCCATTATTAGATTGAAATGAGGACTTTGAAAGTGCTACTTTGTTTACTGTTTGTTTGTTTTGTCTTAGGGAAGTACATAGATCTCTGAGGTAAACAGACCCTGCCTGAGTCTAACATATGGCATCAGGTTCTTAATACTTGTGTGGAATTGATAGCAGACATAAGTTCATTCTGAGGAAACCATAGGGTAGTTAAAAAGGGTGGGAACAGGTAACTTTGAATGTTCAAATTGAAAACATGGTTTAGAGTAAGAATAGTGCTGCTTGTCATTTTAGTTACTCATCTGTGATCTTGTATTTGATTCTATTCTTCCTGTTAATTTAAATTATTTTGATTAAGAAAATTGGATACAGTGAATATGCAAGCCACCTGGACATTCTTATTGTCTTCATAAAAAAGAAAACTATTCTGTTTTTTTTTTTTTTATTAGCATGCAATTATAATAAAGTTAGTTATCTGGGAGAAGTTGAGGTCAGCCAGTTTGGAGCAGGGGCCAGGTAGTAATTATTTCAACTTTGCAGTCTTTGTGAATGTTTCTGTTGTAATTCTTTAGTCCCATCAGTGTAAAAACAGCAATATATACATGTAAGTAGATGACTGGGCCCAACTGTAGTCAGGGATACAAACAGGTTGGATGACTTAGGTATGTCAGAAGGAGATTGCTCATTTCTAATGTCGGTTAGTTCTAGTTAATCTTTTGGAGAGAAAATCCTAATTTTCATTTCTATTTATAGTCATTTTTCATGGGGATTAGAGCATATTATCTCTTAAGCAGTAAAACTTACTTGGAAAGATACTAGAAGCCTAATACAAAGCTTTTATACTCACTTAGTCATCTGTATCATATTCCCATTGCCATATTGTAAAGCAAAGAAAACATTTAGTTAAACAGCAAGCAACTACTGCTTATTCCTAACCCCAGTGAGTTCCTTTCTCTGGGTTTCCACTGTGGATTAGACTTCAGTATAAAGAGTTCTCATGAACCCTGTGTAATTATAGAGATAGCCTATAAATTATACCCCAGAATGTAATAATGGGAAATGCCCTTGTATTAAACTCACAAAACCTGAATGAGCTTGTTAGGTTGTGATATTAAGCTTTCATCTTTTGTAAACAACACTAGGTTTTAGTTTTTCTGAAAAGAGACTACTTTAAATGAATGTTAGCAGTTTCTTATTTTCTACTGCTATTATACTTAAATGACATACCTGTGACTGTGACCATCCAAACCAGGATGTATGTGAATGCAGATATCCATAGAGCAGACATGACAAAGGTTATCACAAAGTAGTTTTTCCAAAACTTTCTTCTACAATCTGGTGTTGTCAGAAAAAGTAATGTAATAATAGGAAGAGAGAGTACCCAAAAAATTCTTTTTAAGTCTGCTTCAGGCATCCTGAAAACACTTGGTGGATCTGTTGTGGAAAAATTAAACAATTTTGAATTTTCTCAAGTGCCCTGTTTCTCAAAGGCCCATTTAGAAGGCTGTGTTGAAATTATTTCACTGTATACATTTTTGAAAGACTGTCTACAGCATTGGTTCTCAACCTGTGGGTTGTGACCCATTTGGAGGATAAATGCTTCTTTCACAGGGTTCTCCTAGGACCATTGAAGAACACATTTATATTATGATTCATAACAATAGCAACGAAAATAATTTTATGGTGAGGATTGCCACAGCATGAGGAGCTGTATTAAAGGGTCTCAGCATTAGGAGGGTTGAGAACCACTGATCCTAAAACATTTGAATATTTCATTACTGTTATCGCCTGTCAAAAGAAACTTAACTGAAACTAGGCCGACAACATAAGCTGTGGTGCTCAAATTCCTCTTCTCTGGAGACTTGACTTAAGTGTCTTGAATTGTTTGTTGAATGTTGTGGTTGCAGTCTTTGCAGAGTAGGAGGTAAGACTCTTGCATCATTGTAGTATGGATCATTAGGACTTGGTGCTTTTAGGATTCACTTGGCACTCCTCTGCCCCCGAGCTCTTTCACTCCTTCCCTTTTCCAAACATGAGACGTATGGTTTGTTGTGTACTTATATATGCATAGGAATATTCCGTCTAATTCTCATTGTGTCTTACCATTTACTAAATTTGTGCTTCCAGTTGTTGGAAGAAATCTAGAGAAAGTTGGGCCTAGTGGCTTCCTGTTATAGCTCCAGAGTGTGTGCTTAGGGGACAGGAATGACAACTATATTGAATAAAAGTGAGACTGGGCTGTGGACTAATTTATATGGTACTTATGCCATACTTGGCTGAAATCACAAATACAACTCATAGAAGTTTACCAAGACTTAAGCAGTGTACCATTAATTTAGATAAAATTGTAACATGAACAATTTGGTTGGTACTCTTGAGGGTTTTATAAACCTCTTCTACCTTAAAGACTACAAAGTATGTTTTGTAAGGATGAAAAATGTCACATGTCATTTTTTTTTTTAAACTGGTAAACTAGAAGCTTCCTTCCTAATCATTTAACTGAAATTAGAATCACTTTTGTAAAGTTTTCTGGTCAGAAATGGCATTGTCATATTGAACGTACCAAACTCATGCTTTGCTTCTGTTACACACATTTCCATCTCACCTGCTTTTTTTTTTTTTTTTTTTTTCCTATTCCTCCAAACCATCCCTCTTTCCTCAGTGGCCACATTTGTCACCAGTGAAGAGTGAAGCCCTGGCTTTATCTCTGGTTCTGCCCAGTTATCCTGCTGCCCTTATTAATGATGCTTCCTCTCCATGCTCTCACCTGGGCTCTATCCCCACAGCCATGTCTGTTTTGTCCATGTCCTGTCATCTTAGTTCAGTCTCCTGCAAATACTGTTCAGTTCTGTGACTTTCTTCCTTGGAACCAGCCCTGCAGGACTCTGCTACACTTCCTTTCTGTCCACTGTTCCTCTGCTTCCTCTGCGTGTGTGTTCCTTAGCTCTGTCTGTGCACACATGAGAGCACGCCTTTGCTAGTGTCCCCTGGACTCAGTTCATAGAGTGTGCTCGTCTCCCCAGCTCATCTGTGCAATCGGGCATCAGTTGTTGCTTCCTGACTACAGTATCAGATTATTGAGTTCAAGCCTTTCTATCCCACAAGATCCCGTTCAAATGCTCTTCTCCATGTGCATCTCTCATTGAGTGTCATCTAAGTTTATTCAATCTGCCTAATATATGAGCCATAGTAGTAACAGTTTTATTTTTATGGTACTTACACTTTGTAATTTTAGCTGATTTTGGGTTTGGGGAGGTGGCTCAGTGGGTAAATGTTTTGTGTGTAGACATGTGGAGTTCTCCAGCACCTGTGTGAAAGAGCATGGCAGCCCACGTGTGGAATT